TGTGCGGTGATGTGTTCTGCGCCGCTGTGCGATGCCATGCTTTGCGTTGCAGTGCTTCGTGATGCAACATTCTACGGCACAATGCCACGCCATGCTATGGCATGCGCTCTGCTGTGCTCTTCTTCGCCATGCCAGGCCGTGCTCTACCTTGCATCGCGTACCCTCTCGCGATCATTTCCCTGCTCGACATCCGACTGTGCGAATAGAGAGGATATCTACGCCATGGGAAGGGAGGGGAGGGAGGGGTAGGACGTCAGATATGACGCGAGCGCACCTAGCTTGTCCCCCCCTCCTCCCTCCCTCCTCCCTCCCTTCCCCCCCCCTCCTTCTCCTCCTCCTTCTCCTCCTCATCCTCATCCTCCTCCTCTTGCTCCTCCTCCTCCTCCTCCTCCTCCTCCTCCTCCTCCAGAGGCCTCCCAGATGGGGGCCGAGCAGATGGGGTCGGAGGACCCACCGCATCGCCACTGCATCGGCGATGCATCGGCGACGTCGGCGATGCATCGGCGCCGTCGGGGGGCCCCAGGTCTGGCCGAGACTGGTACGCTCCGGCACAGAAAACGACCACGGCATCCTCGAGGAGGGGGAGGCGGGAAACGGAGGAGGAGGACGAGGAGAAGGAGGAGGAGGAGGGGAAGGAGGAGGAGGATGAGGAGAAGGAGAAGGAGAAGGAGAAGGAGGAGGAGGAGGATGAGGAGGAGGGGAACGAGGAGGAGGAGGAGGAGAAGGAGGAGGAGGCGGATGAGGAGGAGGGAGGAGATGGAGGATGAGGAGGAAGAGGAGGAGGATGAGGAGGATGGTGATGATGATGATGATGATGATGATGATGATGAGGAGGAGGAGGAGGCGATGGAGGAGGAGAAGGAAGAGGAGGATGCGGATGAGGAGGAGAAGGAGGAGAAGGAGGAGGAGGAGGCGGAGAAGGATGATGCTGATGACGATGATGTTGATGATGACGATGATGATGCTGCTGATGATGATGGTGATGATGCGATGATGATGTTGATGATGATGATGATAATGATGCTGATGATACGTATGATGATAATGATGCTGGTGCTGCTGATGCTGATGATGCTGATGCTGAGGATGAAGTTAATGATGCTGATGCTGCTGATGATACTGCTGATGCTGATGATGACGCTGATGCTGATGATGATGATGATGATGATGATGATGATGATGACAATGTTGCTGCTGCTGCTGCTGATCATGCTGATTATGCTGCTGCAGATGATGCTGGTGCTGCTGCTGATGATGATGCTGCTGATGCTGCTGCTGATGATGCTGATGATGTGATGACGACGATGCTGGTGATGTTGAGGCTGCTGATGATGATGATGAGGAGGAGGAGTCGAAGGAGGAGGAGAAGACTGAGGAGGAGGACGAGGAGGAGGAGGAGGAGGAGGTGCAAGAGGAGGTGGAGGCGGAGGAGGAGGAGAAGGAGGAGGGGACGGAGGAGGAGGATGATGATGCTGCTGATGATGGTGATGATGATGATGATGATGATGATGATGATGATGATGATGCTGATGCTGCTGATGATCATGCTGATGATATGACGGTGATGATGACGATGCTGATGCGGATGGTGGTGATACGGATGATGCTGGTGATACTGATGATGCTGTTGCTGATGATGTTGAGGCTGATGCTGCTGCTGCCGCTGATGATGATGACGATGATGATGCGGATGATGCTGATGCTGTTGCTGCTGCTGATGATGATGCTGATGATGGTGATGATGATGCTGATGATGCTGATGATGACGACGATGATGATGCTGCTGCTGCTACTGATGATGATGATGATGATGATGATGGAGGAGTAGCATGAGCAGGAGGAATAGGACGAGCAGGATGAGGATGATGATGTGGAGACGGAGGATGAGGAGGGGGCTGTGGAGACGGAGACGGAGGCGGATGCTGCTGCTGATGATGATGCTGCTGCTGATGTTGATGATGAATATGATGATGATGATGATGCTGATGATGATGATGATGATGATGATGATGATGATGATGCGGATGATGATGATGATGATGATGCTGATGATGATGATGATGATGATGATGATGGCGATGATGATGATGATGATGATGATGTGATTATGGATGATGATGGATGCTGATGATGATGATGATGATGATGATGGCGATTGATGCTGTGATGAAGATGATGATGATGATGCGCTGATGATGATGATGATGCTGATGCTGATGCTGCTGATGGATGAAGGAGATGCTATGATGATGATGATGATGATGATGATGATGATGATGATGATGATGATGATGATGATGATGATGATGATGATACTGCTCACGATGTTGATGCTGATGATGATGACGATGCTGGTACTGCTTATGATGATGCTGATGATGCTGATGCTGATGAGGGTGATGTTGCTGATGCTGATGATGATGCTGCTGCTGATGTTGATGATGCTGGTGATGTTGATGATGCTGCTGATGCGGATGATGCTGCTGCTGATGACGATGCC